TATCTTCAAGTTTGCTGATTCTTTCTTCTGCCAGCCCAAACCTACTGTTGAACCTCTTCAGTGAATTTTTTTCATTTTAGTTATTGTAATTTACAGCTTCAGAATTTCTATTTTTTTTTAATATACTTTTTATCTATTGATAGTCTCTATTTGGTGGTACATAACTCTTCTGCTTTCCTTCAATTCTTTAGACTTGGTTTCCTTTAGTTCTTCAAACATAATTTATAATAGTCAACATAAAATCTTTTAGGGGCACCTGGGTGGCTCAGTCGGTTGAGCGTCCGACTCTTGATTTCAGCCCATGTCATGATCTCAGGGTCATGGGATCGAGCCCTGTGTCCGGCTCCACCCTCAGCATGCAGTCTAAGCTGACTGTCCCTCTTTTCCTCCCCTACCCATGCCTGCTCTCTCTCTCAAATAAATCAATAAAATCTTAAAAAAAAAAAATCTTTGTCAAGTAAGTCCATCTGGGCTTCCTCACAGACGGTTTTTATTGACTGCTTTTTTTCCTTTTTCATTGCCATACTTTCTTATATCTTTGTGTGTCTCACAATTTTTTGTTAAACACTGGGCATTTAAAAGAATCTAATGTGGCTACTCTGGAAATTAGATATCCATCCTTCTTTCCAGGATTTGTTGTTGCCGTTTGTTATTATTGTTGCTCTTTGTTGGCTTAGGGGTTTTCCTGGACTAATTCTCCAAAGTGTGTACTCTTTGTCATGTGCAGTTTCTGAATTCTCTCTTGGTTAGCTTAATGGTCAGCTGAGACAGAGGTGTCCTTTAATGCCTTGATCCAATACGTCTCCCATTCTGTGCCAAGGGGCTCGTTGTGTGTGTTGGAATACAACTTCAGTGCTCTGCCAGGTTACAATTCTGCCTTTGCCTTCACTTCCTGCTTGAGCAGGGCCTCAAGGTCAGCCAGAAGTGAGAGACTGGGGCTCTCTCAGGTCTTTTGTGGACATGTACACAGCCTTGCACATGAATGTGACTTCTGGAGTCCCAGCAATATGCTGGAGCATTTCAAAGCCCCTCTGGGTGGCTCATCCCCTAGATTTTCATTTAAGTGTTTGTGTCAGCTTCTTCCTTGTTCCAACTGGTGTTGCTACCTTAGGCAGCTGTGACGTTAAACAATTGCTGCTGAGTGTTTTTGGCAAGCACTCCGGGATAGAGCTTTTCCCAGTGAGTGAGCTCTGCATCAGGTCAAATAGAGACAAGTCCTATGTATGGGCTTTTCCTGGAAGCTGACAGATAATGACAATTCTCTGGGAATGAGCAGTTAGGGACTTTCAAATTGTTTTGCTTCCTTCAGTAGCTGCTACTTTTCACAGGTACTGTGGTTGTGAGATTGATGGTTTTTAAGGCTACCATGGGGCTGGGAAATGGGCAAGTTAAAATGCTACAAACCTCACTATTCTTAGCAAGATATTTGTCTTGAATAAACATTTCTTGGGTTGTTACCAGACATTAATTTCCAGAGTTCTGAAAAGGTCTATTTTTTCCTCTAGTGTTCTTGCTGCTTTTTATGGAGAAGCAGATTTTCAGAGGTCCTTACTCTACCATTCCAGAAGTGCTTCTTCCACTGGATTTTTAGAAAGGGTTTCTTGGGGTCAGGGTAGATTAAAAACCCTAGCACTGACATGGCAAAGACAGACTTGCATGATTGGTCCCAGTTCTTAAATCCCAGAAACTTCTGGAACTCTGAGACCTAAGAACCGCCCCCAGGGTCCAGGGAAGGAAGGGAATGGCAATACCATGGTCTCCGTGGACCACTGAACAAAGGAAGAGAACATTGTTGTATGAATCAGAACACAAAACATCAACGATTATCTTCTTACAGTCATTTGCCAACTATATGGCTCCTGTTCTAGAATTTTCCAGTGGGGCTCATAGAACTCTTTCCTACCCTAAGACCCCTAGACTCCTGGGGAACACATGTGTAATATGCATAATTAAGGGTCCTCAAATCTAAATGCAAAGGAAGCATCATTAGTAGAATGAATAAATCTCTTCTGCACATAGATGTACTTTCAAATGCATACTGGCACGAATAAATGCACAAATCCATTTAAAGCAAAGACAACAACAATAGAACCCTAGCACCGAGACTGCTGATCGAAGGCTGGCAGCTGCAGAGATGGGGTGAGCACCTCCATTTGCCTCCGCAGGTGTAGCACGGCCACCAGCCAAGCAGCATTCAATGGCTTCGGTCCTTGTGTCTCCCAACCCTTTATCCATCATTTACCCACCAGTCCCTCTTTCTCACTTCCTCCTCCCTTTCCTCCCTCTTTCCTGTCAACAAGCGTTTACTGACTGTCTCCTGAGTGCCTAGGGGTCCGGTCCCGGCTTTGAGGAGCCCCTGCCTTAGTGGAGAAGGACAGGTGTGCAGAGCAGACCCCCCGTAGCCAGGTGTAGAAATGCTGGGACAGAGGGAGGTATCTGGGGAAGGGGGAGCCAGGGAGAGTGGAGGCTCTTGGGGATAGGCAGGTCTAGATGGAAAAAGGAACCTGCCCAAGGTCCCTAGAAAGAGGACCCCAGAGTGCAAGAGCGGTGCTGGGCTTCTCGGGCTGAGAAATGGGGGAGATGAGAAATCCATTCCATTACAATGGAGACGCATAAACACTGCAGGGCTCTGGAGGCGTTTTCCAGGCAAAGACTCCCACGGGCAGGGTGAGCTCTGTCTGCAGGTCTGGGGCGGAGGCGGCAGCAGCAGGAAGGCATCTCGGCCAGATACTGGCCCACCAGACAAAAAGAGCCTGTCTCCCTGGGACGCAGGAAAAGGCCTGGTTTGTCCAAGGGAAGGCGCCAAAGCCAGGATGTGCATGTATGCGAAACTATCTGGAAATAAACAGGGGGCCCCGCCAAAGCTAATCCGAGAGGGACATCTGCTCTGTGCTGCTCACACCATTCCCAGACAGGCAGAGAATCAGGACCCCGCGTGGGAAAGGTCACAGAAGGGAGGAGAGGCTGCCTACCCCTTGCCCAGCAGCTGACCTTACACAAGACACTTATCCCCTTGGAGCGTCAGTTTCCTTATCTGCAAAATGGGGATGATACCATATTTTTATCTTTTGCAGGGCCCTGTGAAGGTCACATTAGATGAAGAACTTGAAAGGACCCAGCCCAGAGCCCAGTAAATCCTTGTCTTTGACTTTTAGATTGTCTTAAAGTGGAGGCCGAATTCTAAATGGATTTTTGAGGAAGCTTTATCCTAAAAAAAAGTCCCTAAGTATTCCTCATTTCCTTCCAAAAAGGACACCAGAAGCTTACGATAAAATGCAATGAGACCTTTTACAAGGGTAGAAAGGAGAACTGAGTGATGCTGTGTGTTTTTGGAGAGCCGGTAGTGTGTGTGTGGAGGGGCGTGGGTTGTGGGTGATTACACACAAAACCCAGAGTAAAGAAAAGTCCTAGCAATCAAACACAAAAGAGCCTTCAGCTCTGAAGTCAAAGCGAGCAGAGATCCATGAAGGGCATTTCCTAGCAGTGAACTCTAGGGAGCTTGTCTGCAAGTCCTCTGTATAGGGAATGCAATAAGGCAAGCATGCAGTGGTACGGGGGCAGGAAGCCCGTGCCCAGTGTTCGGGAGAAGACTCGGAGGCGCAGAGAGAACCTGCCCCGTTTCCGCGTGGGGTGCGATCTGCCTGGGGTCCTGGTGAAGCTGCTTAGGGGCTGAGCATGGGTGCGTTCATTCCTCCCCTGTTCTGTGCACCTGCCTTCCCTGAGCCTACTGTGTGCTGGCTCTGAAGACTCGGGGTGAGAGCCCCCAGCCAGCCGGGTTCGAGAAGGCTTTCTCTAGATGTAAGGACAAAAGGGTAGTGAAATTGGGCCGAGAGTCCAGGTAGAGGATGAGACACCCTGGGCGGGCTCAGAGCGGGAGGCTCCGACCCCCTGGGTGAAGCTGGAGGTGGGGGACATGGTGGGAGGAGAGGGGAGAGCCCCGAGAGGCGGTGGTGGCATGGACAGAAGGGGGCACGGGTCCAAGGTGTTGGGAGGGGGAGACTGACTGGGACTGGGCGTGGGAATGGGGAAGGAAGGCATCGAGGATGCTGCCCTGGGGTCTGCACAGGGAAGCAGTGGCCGGAGGTCTCCCTGGGACGGCAGGGAGCCAGAGAACAGCAGGTGGGGGGTGCTGGGTTTGGGGGGGTGCTGGGTTGGGGTGCTGGGTTTTGGGGGTGCTGGGTTTTGGGGGTGCTGGGTTTGGGGGGGCACCTCCAACCTCAGGGCCCAGAGATGACTGGGGTGGAGGCATCATCAGCATCATGGGGAGGCAGAGAGGACAGAAGAGGGCCACGGGCGGGCTGGTTTGAGAGGCAAGTGGGGTCCTAGGGAACAGGCGGGGAGGGAGGGGTGGGAGATGTGGGAGAACATGTGGGCTGGCGCCGAGCCAGGGACACTGCGGTCGGCGGTGACTCTGGCCAAGCTGATGTCACCGGCAAGGCCGTGGAGAGACCAGAAGCCTGGGATGATGGAAGGCGAGGTGGGGAGTGGGCATGGGGGCAGGGGGGTCTGGAAGCTTCACGGTCTTAGGGGTTGGGGCTGTGCAGGGTGAGTACATTTTGGGTGAAATGAAGGTGGCAGGAGGGAGGGGGTGGCGAGTAGAGGTGAGTCTGCGGGTTGTGTGGCAGGGAGGTCGAGCAGTCAGGGGAAGGACAGTCCAGGTCTGGGGAGGGCAGGGGAGGCACCCAGGAGGGCCATCGGCAGCCCCCACAAAGGGAAGAGGATGTTTCAGGGGCTGACAGTGACCTTCAGGGAGTGGCCAAGCGCACAGAGGGACTGTCCCTGGAACCGCAGATACCAAGAAGCTAAGGCAGTACTGGACCCAGGACTCGGGGGACAATGGTCAGCTGGAAGGGAGAGGAAGGCCTGGCTCCGGGTCTGAGCATCCCGAGTTATGGGGCAGGGCGGGGACTGGCACCTCCGGCCAGGGCTCAGGTCAGGTCTCAAGGTCAGGGGCAGACTCCCGGGGCTGGGTTTGGAAACCAAGAAAACCAGAGACTCACCGGGGTCGCCTCTTCTTCCAGCCTTGCCGCGCCGTCCAGGAGGGCCTGGGCAGGAGAACAAAGACAGACGGGTTGAGAAGGGAAGCCAGCAGGCTTGGGTGCAGCCCACCGCCCCGTGCCGGTGCCCACCGCCCACCGCCCTGCTGGCGGCATCCTTCCCCTTCCTCGCCATCCGGTCACCAGTCTTTCACGAGTCATTCCCCACTCCCAGAGACTGACTCCCTGGAACTCTACAGACAGAAGAGTCTGCCTCTGAGAAACTGGATCTGGGAGAAGAATAGAGCCGAGCGAGGTTGGGAGTCCTTTTACGAAAGCCCCGACGAACGCTTTTTAATATCCCCCAAGGTAAAATGTTAGAGACGACACACCACATAGAGACACTACTGTGGCCTTCCAAATGCCTGAACTCGGGAACAGCAGGTACTGTTCCGTCCACCGCCTATCCCTCCTCCGCCCTCCAGAACCTTCCACACCCCTCCCCCACAAGCCCGGGGGAGCGGCTCATGAATTTCTCGTGATTGATTGCACTTAAGGTCCACCCCAACATGTGGCATCCTCCGTCCATAGGTTGTGAAGCCTTTCTGAATTTGTGATGCGGACCACCCTGCCTCCACCTTCTCCCCGCTCTGCTCACGTCAGTCCCCAGACCCAGCAACTACGATGCTGAAGGAGGAGAATGCCGACCAGCCCCCGGCCCCGAGTCAGGGGATGTTTTCTCAGGTGCTGGGGGAAAAGGTGTGCAGAAGTGAAGGTGTACGTACTAGACTGCCGTTTGAGATGCATGTGACACCTCTCCGTCCATGGTGCCCACCGGCTGCACGCTGGCCTGCTGGGGCCCGGGGGCGGTAGATCTACAGGCTCGGACGGTATTGCAAGGAACTGCTCTTTCCTATCAAAGTCAACCTTAACCTCCCTCCCAAATCCCCGGAACAACCAAAGGGAAGAAGCAGAGGCTGTCCATGAATCAGGTCCGAGGCAGGATGGTTTACTAAAAAATTCATGTGGGTGAATTTTGAGCCTGGGTGGTTGAGCATCTGCCTTCGGCTCAGGTCATGATCTCGGGGTCCTGGGATCTAGTCCCACGTCAGGCTCCCTGCTCATCGGAGAGCCTGCTTCTCCCTCTCACTCTCCCTCTGTGCTCTCCCTCTCTCAAACAAATAAATTAAATCTTTAAAAAAATTTAAAAAAAATTCATGTGCATAAATTTTCCTTCTTTCCTCCTGGTTTCAAGCGGGCAGTCACTGTGCGCCCCAGACAAGGGATCAGGACGGGGTGGAAAAGCAGAAGAAGCCCAGGGCCAACGGCACTTCTAGACTTTTGTTCAGGAGAGTCCTGAATGATGAGGAGGGAGGGTCTTTAAGGAAAAGAGAGAGAGAGAGAAGAAAGACTCCTCTGGATGTGGAGGGGGCCCCTTTGTGCTATGTTACACCCTAAAACCTTTGCAGGTGTCTGGGGGTGATCGTATGTATACACCACGTATTGTTCATCCATTCATCTTGTTGGGTGATGGACGCTTGGGTTGTTTCCACCTCTTGACTATTGTGAATAGTGCTGGGATGGACATGGGGGTAAAACTACCACCTCAAGATCCTGTTTCCAGTGCTTTTGGATGTATACCTACAAGCAGTAGGTATATACTGGGTCATACAGTAATCCCATTTTTAATTTTTGGAGGAACCTCCATATTGTTTTCTATGCTGACAACACCATTTTACGTTCCCACCAATGAAGGCTTCAATTTCCCCATAGCCTTGTTGACACTTGGTTTTTGTTGTATATTTTATTTAATTAATTACTTTATTTATTTACTTATTTATTTATTGGTAGTGGCTGCCCTAAGGGGTATAATGTGATACTGCATGGTGGTTTTAATTTGCCTTTCCTTAATAATTAGTGTTGTTGAGCATCTCTTCATAGGCCTGTTGACCATCTGTATGTGTATATCTCCTTTGCAGAAATGTTTAGTCATTGCCCATTTTTTAGTTGGATTTTTGTTGTTGTTGAATGGCCAGAGTTCCATTTTCTGGATATTAACCCCTTATCAGGCACATGGCTTGCAAATATCGTCTCCCGTTCTGTAAGTTGCCTTTGCGCTCTGTTGACGGTTTCTTTTGCTGCATGGAAGTTTTTAAGTTTGATGTAGTCCAATTTGCCTATTTTTGCTTTTGTTGCCTTTTTAACCTTTTGAGTTAATTTTTGTGTATGGTGTGAGGTAAGGGCTCTGAGTCATTCTTCTACATGTGCATATTCAGTTTCCCCAACACCATTTGTTGAAGAGACTGTCTTTCCCCCCCTGGACTGCCTTGGCCTCTCTGTTGAAGATCATTTGACCATATAAGTGATGCAGCCCTGAGTTCTGAGAGCAGAAATTCCTGCCGGTCATATGGCCCTTGTTTTTCCTCAATACCCGACGCAGACCTTGAGTTTTGTGCTGGAATCGCCCATGGGCCATGTTGACTTGGCACGGCCGAGATTCTGGCACTTTCATAACAGACAACAGCTCCTCACCCTGGTGAGGGATTTGCAGCTTATGGAGCACCTCCAGGTCCATGACCTCAGTTGAGCCCACGCCGCTCGGTCACCTGCCAACCTAACATCTCTATGTGGATCTCACCAACATCTCAGGCCCGTTGTGGCCAAAACATACATCCTGGTCTCCTTCCCAGCTCCTGTGCGCAGCTGGCCTGGTGTTAGGCCCTTTCTCCTCTCTGGGCACATCTGTTTTCAGGGAGAGCGAGGGTGTGGGAATGGGAACCCCACTGGCACACACAGCATCATGCTCCTCTGCTTGTAGGAGGGAAAAAGCCCACTTTCACTCACAAGGCCCAGGGCGCTGGTCACCGGCTTCTGGGCTTTTGCCAGGCCACAGAAGCTCATGCTCGGCTCAGCAAGGCTGCTTGCCTTGGGTCTCAGGCTGAGATGAGGGACAAGGCAGGAAAGTGGCCCCCAGGTGGGACAGTAAGCCAGGCTCTTCCTGGGTCTGAAAGCTAAAGCACACCATGGTTTCCTGCTGGTCATTACTGGGTACGACTATAAAATTCTCTGTCTGCGTTAACTCAAGCCAGATGAAGACATTTGCCTTCGCTGAGGCGGCTGAACGAATGGATTGGTCTGGTGGTTCTCCTGGGTGGCATGGTTAGGCAGAGGGACCAACGAGGAGGGGTGCTCACAGGCAAGCAGCCACCCAGGCAGGGTGCGGTGCCCCGTCTCCCAGAGCCTTTGGGGAAGTTCCCAGCAGGCCTGGAGTGGGGCAGGGCCTGGGTATCCTCAGGCATCCAGGGCCTGTAGGGCTGCAGGCCCAGCAGGCTGGACAGGACTCCCAACTGAAAGGGCCTTGGTAGAGGAAAAGAATGAACCTGATGCTCTTGAACCCTCTCCCAGACCAGCCCAAACCAGATACTAGAGGCTTCAGTGTGAACAACTCACAAATCGACAACTGGTCAACCTTTTGTGCCAATAAGCAAAAGCAGGCCTCTGGCCCAGCGGTTTGCCCCAGAACTTTCTCCTTGCTGTTTTTTCTCTTTCCCTTCCTTTCTCCAGTGGGAAAACCTCTCCCACCGTCAGCACACACTCAGACATTCAGGCTGCCCTGGGAGGCATCTGGGAGTAGTAGGTCCTGATTGGCCTGCTATGTACAGATGGGAAAACTGAGGCTTTGAGGGGGAGGACAGGTCTTGCCTAAGGATGCTGTTGGGAAAACGGTTCCAGCTGGAAAATCTGCGTGTGATGAAGCCCAGATCGTGCTGTTCTCCCCACCGCTGCGTGGGACCCACACAGCGGTGGGGGATGCCACCCACAGGGGTATCCGTGAGGTGTGGGCAACACACACCAGCCAGGTGGGGGCAGTGCAGGACGGGAAAGACATGACTGACATGGAAGCTGTTTACCTGGGGCAGGTGACTCAGCCTCTCTGGGCCTCAGATTCCCGACCCACACGGATGGAATTTTAGGGGAGATGGCTGCCGTGCTGAACTATTGAACAGAAAAGCACGTGGCATAAGGACCAGCTCAGAGGCACAAAAGGGGTGCCTATTGGGGATCCCAAGAAGTAACTGGCTGGATGGGCCTTTGGGCCTTCAGAACATGGCGCCCTGATGTCAACAGCCTCCTGTGTGTCCCCCAGGGTGGGTAAAGCCTGAGACATGGCAGCTGCAGGTCAGTGACTTTGTGGGCAGGGTCTGAGTCCCGACGCAAGGACAGTCTGGGGGTTTCCCATGTCCCTCCTCATGGTCTGTCTGGGGACCTGGGGACCAGGATGCAGGGGTTGCACGGCCTGGGGATGGGGTTTCTCAAAGACATCCCGAGGTTTCAGGCCCAGCCTGGGCTCCAACTTGCTGCAAAATGATTCTGGATGCCCGTGACGACCATCTGCCCAGTAAGTAACCATGGAGGATGATGGTTTTCTTAAGTACCGTTTGAAGCCAGACAACATGGAACCATTTCTAACTCATAAAAACCTCATCTCTGGTTGGGCTGGAGAACTCACGCACTGACCAGATCCAATGTGGGGCCCACACCCAGAAAGGCTCTCTTGGAGGTCTGAAGCCTAAGGAGGTGGCTCTCAAAGTGGTGGCCTCCTCGAGCCTCGCTGGCACCAACGTCCCCCAGGACTCCTCCTCCAGCAATGTCTGCCTTATTACGGCCTGGACATGTGGGGGACAGCCTGCCCAGGCCCCCATGTTCTCCAGGTCACCCAGTCCTCGGCCCTTCCCATGCTCCTCCGAGGACAGAGGCTTTTGTGCAATTCATCTTATTGAATCTATACATAGTTCTAGAAAGTGCTTTATTTTTTTTAAGATTTTTAATTAAAAAAATTTTTTTTAATTTGACAGAGAGATACACAGAGAGAGAGGGAACACAAGCAGGGGGAGTGGGAGAGGGAGAAGCAGGCTCCCCACTGAGCAGGGAGCCCGATATGGGGCTTGATCCCAGGACCCTGGGATCATGACCTAAGCAGACGCTTAATGACTGAGCCAGCCAGGCGCCCCTAGAAAGTGCTTTAATCTCTTCCCACTCTCTTCTCCCTCATGACTGGGGAAAAGGAGACTCAGAGACGTCAAGAAATGTTGTCAGAGGTAACAGCCAAAAGGTGGAAAAACTCAAATGTCCACGGACGGGGCAAGAGATGAAGAAAATGTGCTGTGTGCACACGATGGAATATTATTCAGCCTCAGAAAAGAAGGGTGTTCTGACACATGCCACACCACGGATGAAGCATGAGGACGTCATGTTAAGTGAAATACGCCAGTCGCAAAAAAGACAAATACTGTATGATTGATTGCCCTTATGTTAGGTGCCTGGAGTCATCAAATTCAGAGAGACAGGAAGCAGAAGGGCGGGTGCCAGGGGCTGGGTGGGGGAGACGGGGGTCAGTGTTTAATGGGGACGGGGCTTCTATTCGGGAGGATGAAAAAGTTCTGCAAATAGATCGCAGTGATGGTTGCACAACACCTCGAATATACCTAATGCCACTGAATCGTCACACTTAAAAACAGTTAACGTGGTAAGTTTTAAGTGGTGTGTATTTTACCAAAAGCTAAAACAAAGAAAACGAATGCTCCCAGGGTTCTCAGCTCCCAAGGGCCGGAGCATGAGTGTGAACTCAGGTTGGCCTCTTAGAGACCACAGAAATGTCGTTGGCGGTGTGGCTGACGACTGTCCACAGCTGAGTGTCTGCCGAGAGCCTGGCCTAGGTAGTCACGGGGCACGGTGGTGTCCCCGAGGTCACACAGTGAGGAGATGGCAGAACAGGGACTCGAACCCAGGTCTGTGTGACTCCAGCGCATGTCCTCTGAACTCCTGGGTTGTTGTGACCAAGGTTGAGTTCTTATCATCATCCCAGGATGCGTCCAGAGCCTCCTGCAGCCTTAGGACTTGGCCCTTCTCATGGTCACTGGGGGCCCCTTTCTCTGACCCTCTTCCCAGAACTCTGGGAAGGAGCCTGGGGGTCAGGTGGTTTGAATGCTCTAGACCTTCAGTCTGGAGCTCCTTGCGTGCGGTTGCCCGAGGCCCCGGGGGCCATCGTGGGGGTGCGTGCTGAGCAGAGGAGGCAGGGGAGGTCCCTCGATTTGAGCGGCTAAGACCAGATCATGAAAACACCTCCTGAGATAATTTTGTTTTTTAAGTTTCAGACCAATCTTGGAGTTGGAAACTCTTGCTCGGGGGAAGGGGAGTGTTGTCCCTGCTCATTTCCTGCCTGGGCTAACAAAGCCCCCTGTCCCTCGCAGGAGTGGGGGCAGGTGCGTCCTATGGACACCTCGGGGAGGGTCTGAGGGCCACGGTCCTCCTGGAGGGGCTTTGCCTCCTGGAGTAGCCGGTCACCTGGCAGGTTGCTTGAGCTTGGCCAGCATCGAGGGCCATGTCATCCTTCGGGAATTAAAATCACGGCTTCTTACTCAGCAAATACAGCTCATTCCAGAAGGACTTTATTGTGCCCAAAGGCTCCACCATACATCATGCTACGGGGAGCCCTGCTGTGTTTTGGAAGGTCCTCAAGCAGTTTGGAAAACCAAGACCACAGGCTGCTGGGGTGGTAGGGGAAATGTTTGTTTGGGACGGGGATTGTGTCCAGACTGGTGACAGATTCCTACAGTCCCCATGACCAGATCGGGCAAGCCCACTTAGATATCATGCCCTTCAGTGGCTGAATGAACAGGGCCTATCTTGGGGGGGGCGAACTGGTGGGGGACCCCAACCTCACATTCACAGAGGGCCTCAAATGTGGACCCTCCTGTTCTCTCCAAAGGAGCTGATAGTAGCGGACAGCCCTAGAGGCCCCCTGATGGTGTTTAATAAAAATAACAGGGAGGAACACCATTTATTGTTTGCTCTGCGGTTGGTACCAATCTCGGCTCCACGGTATTGACCCATTTACTCTTCACAATGAACCTATGAGGAAAGCTACCATTGTCATCCCCATTTTATAGAAGGAGAAACTGAGGCGCGGAGAGATGAACTGAACTTCTGAGTCATACAGCTGATAGCAGGTGGGGCCGTGCAGTGTAGACCCCGAGCGTGTGCATCCAAACCCTGCTGCCTGCCTCCAGCACGAGGAGATGCTCGTTGGAGGTGAGAGGTGCCCACCAGTCCACGGGTTCCAGAACCCTTTCTTGGTATTTGTTATTATTATAGTTTTTAGAACATGGGACCCACACACAAAGGAAGGGGGCTGGGGATGGCTCTCAGAGGTCTGTGAATTAAATATTGAATTAAAAGGCCACATGTTGCCACGAGCACCAGCCTGTACTGACTCCAGCCGGATTCTGGCATGCCCTCCTCACGCCATCCGACGCGCCCACTGTTTCCAGGCTGCTTCCTCTCTGAGTCAGGAGCGGCTTTAATAAAGTGTTTAAAACAGGATCAAGGAGTTCAGACCTATGACTCATGCCGGTGGCGCACTGGACCCAAGGGTCCCGGAGGGAAGGGCTCCCGCGAGGTGGGAGCAGCGAGCCCGGCGCGGGGTGGTGGGGGGAGGGTGACCCGCTGCCACCCGCTGAGTGCCTCTGCCCTCTCTTTAATCTTGCTCATCACTCAGAGATGTGGGTGTGAACAGGGACAGAGACCAAAGGGAGGTGACCTGTCCAAGTCACAGAGCTCATCAGGAGCTGAGGGTTGGGCCAGCACCAAGGCTGCCCGCCTCAGTTCCTTATTTTCGGGGAAATGGACCGTGGTTGAGGTACCAGCGCTAAAAATATGGAATGTCTCATCCAGAGGCAAGAGCAAGAAGGACTCGGGAAGAAGCAGAATGTGGGTGGATAGTTTCTGGATCAGTGACGGGGCTCACGGAAGGGCTTCTGGTCAAGGGATGTGTGTCTTAGCCCAGAGATTTCAAGGGACTTCTTGAAGAATGCTTTTGAGTGACAGCTGTAAGGCACATG